ATGGAGCTGAGAAATCCATCAGTTGGTAAATCCACTTCTTTCAGCAATTGTATTCTCTTCCTTGCTATGGCTCTCAAACTTTGGCCAATGTATCTTTGCATGTATGGCCAAGAAAGACCATCCCTCTTCCTGGCTGACTGCAATTATGATGAACAAGTAAAGTGCTATTTTGTTTTCTTTTTTTTTAAGAAAGAAACTCAGCTAAGATGGCTCTACTTAACATTGATTTGACTTCCAAAATATACCTAGCACTTTACTACTTCGAATAATTTGTAAGCATTACCTTGCTGCTGCGCTCAATCCCGACATAATCTGCCTCTTCTGGGATCATCACCAAGAGTTCCGCTTCATAGGCTCCTTCACCTTCATTTCTCGCATTGATTATGAGCATAAGGTGATTTTCATCTCCAATGATAACCTGATGCTTATCTCTAGAAATGCAATTTAACAGGGTCATTAGATACTCGCTGGACTCGTGGGTATTTTAGTAAGGATTTACCTGAGAGGAAAGGACGAAAGATGTGGAAATGCAAGACTGAGGCAAAAAGATGGATGGCCATGAAGGCGCATTGAGAAGAATCAAGAGAACCAGGTCTTGCTGGGAAGGACAGGAAGACATGCAATGATGTGCTGGTCAATGTTTAACAACCAGGTCTCAAAAAACACACCCCACACCATTTGCAACATTTGCTGATTCCAGTGGTATGAATCCTCCCACTAGGGTCAATGTCAAGCTGCTGACATACTTAATAATCTGCCAGAAAAAAATTCTAGAAAATTTAACAATTGGCTCACAAGCCAGAATGAGTAGCTTCAGCACATCCCTGAAAATACCCAGCAGGAAGTAAGATGAGTCTGGGGGAAAAGGAGAGAGACAGGGTTTAAAAACTCTGAGTGGGAGACGTGTGATGCGAAATGGACAATGAGAGGAAAGAAAGTAGCAGATAAAAGAAGATCACAAATAGCTGATTGAGGATTGCGAAGTATTTTGAAGAAATTTAATTCACTCCAAACTTCAAATTGAACCAACATCTGGAAATGCCTATTTCACTTTTGACCCTTAATCAAAGCTATTGCTTTGGACACTGGCTAACTTGTGAAGTTTGGAGAAAGTCTCCTTGAGAGCTATCAAGCGGATTCCAAACATTGGCAGTGAGACAGGTCCTGGGGGTGGGGGGGTGGGGTGAAGGAGCATGAATCTGTTTTGTCCCATCATAGATAGCTCACATCTTAATTTCATTTCTTTATATATCGTAATGCAACACAATTATCAGTGCTGGGATGGTGACTCGCCACTACAGGCAACTGGGAAGCCCTCTGATTCTTTTTATTTTTTTAAATATATATTTTATTGGTTTTTCACAGAGAGGAAGGGAGAGGAATAGAGAGTTAGAAACATCGATGAGAGAGAGAGAAACATCGACCAGCTGCCTCCTGCACACTCCCCACTGGGGATGTGCCCGCAACCAAGGTACATGTCCTTGACCGGAATCGAACCTGGGGCCCTTGAGGCTGCAGGCCGATGCTCTATCCACTCAGCTAAATCGGTTTGGGCAGCCCTCTGATTCTTATTTGACTTTGTGACACCTTCTGCTTTACTCCATAGAGTGCCATTCCATTTCCCCCAGCAAATTAAAGTTGGTTTTGTGTTGACAATTTTGAGGATGCCTTTGATGCATGGGGTGCTGTATAAAAAGTTTTGGCTAAGGTGTCGATGGAACCAGCCTGTCTCTGAATTCTTTGCCCACAGAACTGAGACAAGTAAATACAACCTGAACCACCCCATAGATGAATTTACTTTGAACAAAAACTTTTTTTTTCACTTCTGCTGAAAGATGAAACAGCTCGGGCAAAACCTTAGGGTGGTCACTTGACACCAATGACAAAGAACTGACCCAAACCACAGGCTAACGCAAAGTGTAGCCAAGCTCAAGACTTTCACGCAGTGTATTTTTTGTAGTAGTTGAAAGTGTATACTTCCACCAGAAAAGCTTTAAATAAACACCTGTATTCCATTAGATAAATGTACAAGTTTATTTATTTAAACTTACGGTCTGGCTGACAGCTTCAAGTCAGGAATGCACATGTTGTCTTCTCCACAGTCCACAAGGATATGAACCTGTGTTGTGCAAAAACAGATCAGGAATAATCTTGGAAAACCGGAATCACATCCTGTTTCTTGAAAATTATGAACGATTCCACAAATTAAAGCAAAGCTTTCGTTTCACTAGGCATGACTCTACCCAGCTAGAAGCCCCGTGTTCAGCAGTGACCGCCCAATAGAGGCCAGTTTACATAATAGCCCGATGCCAATTCATTCTGAAATGTCTGTAAAGAATGTGAGTCTGGCAATGTTTTGAGAATTACAGACTGTATTGCTTCCATTACAGCCACATTTTGAACATATTAAATCTTGGTTGCACAAGGGGATGGGCTTCTGAAAACACAATGATGCAGTGTTTCAGGAAACCTGTTAGAAAAATCGCCCAAATGTTATATCTTTGTGCGCAGGAATGAGACAAAAGGGACTACGTTTCATCTTAAGGTCACAGGAGCTATGCCCGGGGCCTGACTGGGAATATGAAGACCGACAAGGTCCTACCTGTTCAGTAACAACGTTTCCCCTGTAGTGGTTCAGTATCGGTTTCACCTCCAGGCCTTCTTTAGAGGTGGGCTCATCCAAACTGTAATTCAAACTAATGTTGATTGGAGACAATTTATCTCGGAATTCAGTTTCATCCTGGGAAAAATAATGACGGAGTCTAGGAAGGCTCTGTGAATCAGCTGCAGGATGTTAGTCTGTGAAAGGCACTGGACTTCAGTCAGCGAAAGTGAATGATGAAGCAATCATCACCATCATGAGCCTAAGTACTCACTGACTATTAATATAGCTTAATTAATATGTGTCAGAGATGATTCATTTAGAGCTGTGGCTTCATTGAAATACATGCTTCTAGAGGTAATCTTCAGGGTCTCCAGATCTTCAAAACTCACATAGGTTGGCCATATTGCAAAGTTAAAAAAAATTATACTTATATATGTAATAAATATTTAAAGTTTTGCAAATTGGGATTTATATTTCCATGAGGTTGGCACAATCTATGAGTTCTGTTGGGCTCACAGGAAGAAAATATCTTGATTCTCTTCCTCTCTTATCATCTCTTTAAGCCCCCACTTGCATGAACTTCAAAATGCTTTCAGCTCATTTGAAGTTCCTTCAGAAAAAGAAATAGAACTCCCTTGAGGTGAGGAGGTGAGTGAGTAGCATCAGCAGCAAGCCCTGAGCACACGGAACACCTTACTCCCTGTGGTGAACATGCCACCCTTCAATTATGTGCCAGTCAAGGTCATAATGAGACCCCAGGGTCATGCGCCCAGCTTTCCAGACCTATTTGTAAACTTGGCCTTCACCAGATTTCCCCTCACTAAGTCCATTAAAGGAGGAGATGAAATAAGAAAGAATAATAACCTCACAACTGGTGAGAAGATGAAGTAATTGTATGATAAATATTTTGGCTTTTTAAATTTCACGGTAGGTTTGGAGTTATTGGTAAAAATCCACTGCTTTAAAAATATAATTATAAATGACTCTTAATAAAGGCTTTGAATGCCTAAATGTTTTCCTGAGTTGGCTCTTAAATGCACATTGATAAAATCTGGCTAAACATACTCATGTAGGAGAAAAATTCAAATAAATTATGTTATTTTTGCGGGGGAGGCAGTTACAAATGAAAACCACCTGAGTTAGTGCTATTAGCAAGATTGTGAACAAAACAAAAAGAAACCATGAGAATTAATAGCAACATATGATTGGGTTAGTGGAAGGAAGTGAGGCTCAAGGCTGGAGTGCAGCCTTAAAATAAAGTTTCCTCCAATAAAATGAAAATGACGTGGACAAGGTTGATGGTTAAATGGAAAAAAAAGTGGTTGGAATGTGGTTCTGAATGTGAGAGGCCAGAAAGATGACTCTGGAACACTTACTCGCAGGTAAACCATGAAGTCCTGGCACTGGTGGGATTTCTGCTGCTTTATCACGAGAGGGAAGATGAAATGTGACTGATGGTTGTCAAGGAAGAGTGTGCGTTTAATGGCACCTTTTTGTTTCAGGGAATCTAACTGCACCTCGGCGGTTAGGCCTAAAGGACAGAAATAGAGTAAATATAATCAGGAGAGGAAAAGTATTTGGTGAATGCAGTGCTTTAGCAGAGGTATGAGTTCCTAGTTCAATTTGCTTACATAGAAAACTTTTTTTTTTCATAGTTGGGATCAAAAACAATAGAAGAGCTGAGAAAAATTTTAGGAAATACTCCCCACGCTAAAAAACTTGTTGTTTTACACAAATCATGTTTTTTTCATGAGGTTGGCAGAATCTATGAGTTCCCTTGGGCTCATAGGAAGAAAACATCTTGATTCTCTTCCTCTCTTATCATCTCTTTAAGCCCCCACTTGCATGAACTTCAAAATGCTTTCAGCTCATTTGAAGTTCCTTCAGAAAAAGAAATAGAACTTCTGCAAGGTGAGGAGGTGGGTG